GTTTCATTCGAAATCTATGCATATTACTATGTCGTATTTCGTTTGAAGCGTTATTTTCAAGAATTTTAGTTTTATAGATTAGTCAGTGATAACGTTTTAATTTAGGATCTTATGGTTGGTGAGGAATGCTCACAGCTTCGACAAATGCTTGACATATCCTATCCTATGGACAATGGCATAGTACGTAATTGGGAGGACATGGCTCACATATGGGATCATACTTTCGGTCCAGATAAATTAGACATCGATCCAAAGGTATGTCGCCATTAAAGTATAATTATATGTTTCTCATATACATCTCTTCTTTCTTCCCTGTTCTCTTACACTTCAGTCGCATTCTTTTTTCCCAACTGTTGTTCTTCTGCGTTTTATTAGGGATTAGCACCTCGGATTGTCGGAGCTATTATGGTATTATGCGTTGCGAAGTCACCAACCTGTAGTCTCCTTTTTATTCATGCTGATCTTTGTATACAAGGGGTAGCCGAAAGCTGTTAAAAGATACATATCATATAGGACAGGCCGTAATCAGATTTATGCTCGCAGTTGTAGGCGATGTTATTGTTAGTCAGAAATAGGGAATATAAACGCTTTTCGAAATTCTCATTTTATATATGGAGTGGATCATCTTTAGTGAGTTTCCAACATGGCCTCGCCTGCAAGATCTGGGCTATACACTGGAAATGTTAGTGAAGATTTGTTTCAAAAGCTATAAATTTTTTGGATTACATTGTTCATGCATTTCCGCTTCGTTGTCGCTGCTGTATATTTTCCATATTGAATATGCTAAAGCATGGCCACTGGACATAGTTTTGGTTTCACTGCGCTACGAAATAGAGTTTGCTGGCAGTTATGACTTGAATCAGTGTTTGCACAGGCGTGACGTTTAGCATAATTGAGTCATCCGCGCTTCTTGTGAATTTGTTATACTCACCCTGATTTCATTTATGTAAATAAATGATCAAGTAGATGCTCGGTGTGCGAGAAACATGCTTTGCTATGGTATAATCTTGGCCTCTTTCATTTACAGAGCAGTCTCTTGTCAATTTTCCACGATTTCTTTCGCGAATTATGAGTGTACGTATGAGGCACGAGTTTGTCGCTACTGTGCTAACTGTTGTTCAGTGCTGTAATTGAACCTACAAGGAAATGTATTCCCGGTCTTTTGCATCACTCATTGGATTTGATCTGAGATAGCCAGTTCGAAGTCCACTTCGCAACTTGAGATAACGATGCCCATGAACTGTGTAATAAATGCACTGAATCTTACTTAATATCATTTTTTGCATTGTAGATCCATTCTTTAATTTATAAAACAGCGCACTTGAGTTTTATAGTGGAAAATTTGTACATCTTGCTATGCAAAAACCCAGGTGACCTCGCCGATGCAAAGTGCAATAGTCAAGTTCAAGGAAGTAAGTAACTTCAAGTTTCCATATAACTGTTTTTT